GGCGGCACCGCGTGCGCCTAGGCCTGCCCGTCCGGTAGCGGCCGTTACCGGTAACGCGCGGGGCGTATTTGCCTTGCGGCCGCGCGACAGTATGAGGGCTGGGCGCCCTCCGTCCCCTCATCCTCCTTTTATTTTTTTTTGCCTTTTTTTTCCTATTAAATAATGTTGAAAAATTGCAAGCATCTTCTAGATGTGTTTTCCCAAATTACTTTTTTTCTTTGATTTATTTTTAAGCGTTTGAACTTGATTACTTCAGCTATGAAGTGTTAAGATAGAAATGAAGGTTGTTTTCTACTTTAACGCAGGCATTTAGCATGGGGTAAAGTCTTATTTTTGCAGATGTGAAAGTGTTTTGCTTAGCAGTTCTAGGCTAGATGTGGGGAGTTACTGATATAGGTTTCTTATTTTGAGCTTGTGGCTTGTCTTTTCTTGTAGTGACTGCCTTTTTTTTCTTAAAAAAAAAAAAAGGCTCTCTTGCCAGAAGTTCACAAATGCACCCAATTTTCAAAGAAGCTGTGAGCCAGAATTGAATTTACTGGTTCTGTTGTTGAAAAATGCTCCTTGAGTTGTGCAGAATGGCATGAAATGCTGGAAGTCCTGGAAAATGTTACTTATGGAAGTGGCCTTCCATGATCGTAATAGCCCCTTCCAAAAGCTGTGTTCAATCAGTTGTCTAGACAAACTGAAGAACAACAAGTGCTTCAGGAAATGTGTTGTTGCAGAGAGCTGGAAATAAGCACTTGAGATATTTATGCAATGGCTCCTTGAAGGGAATGGGAAACTGAGAAGAAAAGTCCCAGCAGCCAGTAAGGTTTTGTTATTGATAAGTGATATTTGCGGCTTACATGGATGCCATCTAAATGATGAATGAGCAAGACTTAATTCTCTGCACAATTCCCACTTTCATGTTAAATGCTTTGATGCTTACTGGAGCACCTGGTACTCCCCAGTGTTATTTTATTTGTGTATTTATTGAGAGGCAGGGGAAAACTTACAAAATACAAAAAAAAAATTGACTTGTGTGAATGGCCTAGAAATTTATAGAATCTCTTTCTTGTATTCAGGGGTATTTTACTTTGAGGTATCAATCATGCTAGGAAACACAGATACAATAACTGCTTTTTGCTGGTAAAGGGCAGCTGAAACATTTGTGCTGAATAGAGGGAAACTAAACAAGCTTGATATCTAAAACAGCAATGCTAAGCTACTGAATATTTTATCATTTTTTAGTAAGGGTGCGAGTGGATAGTTTGAGTTACGCTGTCATAGTAATAATTTCCCACTGTTCCTGCTTTACTCTGTAGCAAGTATATACTCTGTTCTGTAGGTTATCCATGAGTTTAAATACATATAATTACTTCACTGAAGTGATGCTGAAGCTTAATTATGTGTTTTATAAAACACTCTGTGATGCTCAGGTGAAGGGTGCTTTGTGTGTGAATAACTTTTCCCTTCCTGTAGTGTGAGGAAGTCATGTACTATATAATTATTTTGTCTGACTTTGGGTGGTACAAATACCTGCTGTGCCAATTGCTGTGTCAGATATTCCCAAACATTTATTCATTCTTAGATTGACTAGTTTATAAAAATGTACTGACGTGGCTATCTTAAATTTATACACACCACTCTAAGTATTTCAGTTAGAAAGTAATTTCACAGTATAGTCAGTAACTTTGTTAAACGTTTAAGCTTGTTTCTCCATAATGTTTGGGTTTACATGTGTATAGAAGGCTGGAGACCACATCTGCCAGGTGAACATAAGTAACAGTAAATTTTTTTATCTGTAGTCAATTTCAGATGTTCAAAGTTAATTTATGGAGAATTATCCATGATATTTGTAACTTAACTCATTATTCGGTGTAAAAGAACCCATTTTCCAGAAATGTGTATAACTGGAGGATTTCTCAGTTTCTAATAATACAGTTCCTGACTTGATCTTTGTGGGAGGGAACTATTTTTAGAAGTCGTTCATTAAGTCTGTCATGCAAGAATGCTTTTGATGTGTTCCCTTGAAGTGGTGATTTTGCAAGTGGGAGAGGTGACATGCTGGTTTATGATGGAATATTTGCCTCTTCAGAACAGATTTGAACATTTGCAAAGACAGTTAAGATGGGCGTTTTCTGTTAAGCAATGTCCTGATTAAATTTTAGTTTTGACTTCTTTTTTTTTGTTCTCTGAAAAGTTAATGTCAAAATGTCTGCCAATTCTGAGTCCATTTTTTCCTGCTTTTTTTTTTAATAGCAAATTTCTTATATATGCCTGCCTGCTGCTTTTTTCTGTGTTGCTCTCTTTACGTCTGGATGACAAAATTCAATGGAGCTACTGGGCTGTGTTTGCTCCAATATGGCTGTGGAAGCTAATGGTGATTGTTGGTGCCTCGGTGGGAACAGGAGTATGGGCACGAAACCCACAGTATCGGTAAGTTGAGGACATTTGTTTCCCAAAACAGAAGGAATGTAAGATGTTTTCCATACTGTGCAGTTCGGGTCTGTTGCCTAAGAACTGTTTTGTTTAGCCCTCTAGTATTGGCTCTGAGTGTATAGGAAAAAATGTGTGTGCTTTCACTTCGTGTGTGCTGTCGCAGATAATTTATTTCTTAGTAATGGATGATATTCTGTTGGAATATGCTGAATTATGTAAATAAAGCTGTTCTGCACAAAGATTTGATTCAGTGAACTGGGATAGGAACCAAGCAGGTAGCTTTAGTCTGGGCTTCCTTCCTTTCTGGCAGTCTGCATGGTATCTGAGGGCCTCAGTAGCAACACAGAAATCCTGCTTTAATTGTTCAGCAATGAAACCTTTAGAAATTTTTCAACTTGCAAAAAACATTTTGGCCTTTCTGGGTAGGAATATTTTAAGTGTACATGCGCTTAATGGGCAGGAAATACTGCTGTTTTATCAGCACTGTGTTTAATAGTGACTATTTAGATCAGAAATGTATGCTTATTAAAAATCAGATTATCTTCTGAAACTTAGAACTTGCCATCAATATCTTAGGATGTTTGTATGCTAGTGTGCTTTTTTTACTGACAAGTAAATTGAATGCTTCCTTAACCTCTCTTTAGAGCAGAAGGAGAAACGTGTGTGGAGTTCAAAGCTATGTTAATTGCAGTAGGCATCCACCTGCTACTGCTGATGTTTGAAGTTCTGGTGTGTGACAGGATCGAAAGAGGAACCCATTTTTGGCTTCTGGTCTTCATGCCGTTATTCTTTGTATCTCCAGTGTCAGTTGCAGCTTGTGTGTGGGGATTCCGACATGACAGATCTTTGGAGGTAAAGCTATTTGTTAGGCCGAAGGATTGGGACAATGCAAGCCTGAATAAAATTTAGAGCTCACCCTCAATAATATGAGGTATTAGGATTGGTAATGTGCATTGCGAGTAATGGGATTAATTGGGATTAATAGGAATGGAAATCAGTGGGACTAGAAATAGATTTTTTTTTTTTAGATTTTTTTCTAAATGTTTCTACTTTTTTTTTTCATATGCCAAATTGCAGCATATTTTTAACCTGCCTTTTTATTTTTGAATGCTTTAAAACCACAAACTGCTATAGGGGCTCATACTGAACACTTAAATTGAAATTACAAACTAAAATTCCTCAGCTGGTAACTACTGTCCCTAGGCAGAAGTGAGCTTGCAGAATACATAAAAATTGAAAATTTTTCACCTTCCCAACATGTGTGCTTAATTTTTAGCCTGTTTTACTCCTATCAACAGCATTCCTAGTAACTTGTTTCTATCTCTTTTCCTCTCTAATTAGATCTTTACAGTTTGAGCAAGAAATTGAGCAGGAATAGGAGAGTGTGGCAACCCTAGTAACACTTCGCAATAGATTTATCTTTTTTTGTTAAGAATTTTTCAACTTTCATTAGCTAATAGAAGTGTTTAATATATTACTGCAACTACTAAAAGTTTTTTTTTTTAAATAGGTGAACATTGCTTATTTAAATCTAATGATTTTTTTTACACGTTAATTTAAGTGTACCTTACAGATATCTGAAGAAAATAGTTTATGATTTGGTTCTAGCTTCTTTGCTTTGTTATTTATGTTTTAATAGATCACTTTTTTCTGTCCTAGGTTTTTTTTTTTTTTTCTTCCAATCTAAACTTCTCCAATCTGTTCATTTTGGCTACTGTGCACAACAAGAAGGGAAATTTTCAGTGCTTATCTTAATTTAGGGTACCAATTTAGCCACTAGAGAGAAGTCAACTGCTCAAACTCACATACTAAATACAAGGAGGATCTTCCCTTGAGACATGTGCTTTTCTAGGTTAACAGTATGGGGATGAGAGCCCTACAATTTCAGGCATGCTTAATTATGTGTAATATAAGAGAAAATGGATCCATATTGAGATTACAAGCACAGAGTTTTTTTAAAAATTCCTTTGTCAGATTCTTTGTGAAAAGATTTATAATGCAGGAGTAAACTGTAATATCTTTTTTCTTTCTAGCTGGAAATCTTGTGTTCAGTCAACATTCTACAGTTCATATTTATCGCACTCAGATTAGATGAGATCATCAGATGGCCGTGGCTTGTATGTAAAAAGTGGTTTTCTTCTTATTTTTAAATGAGGATTTTAGTGCATATATTGACTGTAGGAAACAATTACAGAGTCTTAATCCCATTTCACTTGTTCAACAATCCTTTGCTGAAGTTCTGGCATTTCATTCAGGAGCCATGGAAATCAGATGACTAAGAGCGTAGCATTTAATTCCTCAGGGGAGGGATGTGTGCCATCAAATATAATTAATCTCTGATCAGTTATTGAAATCATAAAGGGGTTTCTAAATGGAACAGTAGATCAGTCACAAAAAGGGTGAGTTAGGGAGCATGTTGGCCAAGTAAAACATGGCAAATAATTTATTGTACATATAAATATAAATTCACTTCCTATCCTAGTGTCAAAATATGTGGAGATCAATTTTTGCAAGTGACTTTACTATACAAAAACCTTACTTTTGTAGATGGGTTTTCATAAACCTCTAATCTGGCATGATGGTGACTGTCCTTCCTGTTTTCCTAAAAATTATGAGGAGGATCTCATTTAAACTGTGTCAAGCAAGGTGTCTAGTGTAGAAAATACTTGCTAAAAATCAATTTCAAGTACTGTTTGAGCCCACTCAAAATAACAGAAGTTTGATTTGTGTTGAACTGTTGTGAGAGCTTTGAACTGTTTCAACATGACAGAGTTTACAAGGCTTATCAAGGAGGCCAGAAGAGTTATATGGCTTGTAACAGTGCGTGTGATTTATGAAACACTTTTTGTTAGAGATATTAGTTAGAGCATTGCACTTAAATTACTTTTTTCTAATTTAGATTTAATATGTGGAATTGCTGAAATTAACTTTCTTTTTCCTTTTTTAGGTTGTTTGCGTTCCTTTATGGATCTTGATGTCCTTTCTGTGTCTAGTAGTGCTCTACTACATTGTGTGGTCTGTTCTGTTCTTGCGCTCGATGGATGTGATTGCTGAACAGAGGAGGACCCACATAACAATGGCTGTCAGCTGGATGACAATTGTCGTTCCTCTGCTCACATTTGAGGTAGGCAATACTTTTATGTATCTTGTTCTTTTTTTTTCTGGGAGTGGATGTTGGTCTATCTCTTTCTGAGTCTGCTAAGATGGACATAATGCTTTTCGTTTTGGAATAAAATCTTAACTGCAAATATGAAGGAAAAACAGGAATCGTCTGGTATTTGGAGGTTAATTTTTGGCAGCTTTTTGAGTAAAATGTAAGGTCTAGGAACTATAACTTGATGTTTCTCTGAAGGCCATTTTTCTTCACAGATGTGTGTAAAGTTAAAGACCTGAGATCAGGCCACAGATGTTAAGATTGGTGTTGTCTATTGCAATGAAACTAACACTGTAATTCTTTTCTCCTCCCATTAGATTTTACTAGTGCACAGACTGGATGGGCACAACTCTTTCTCTTTTATACCCATATTTGTTCCTCTCTGGCTGTCACTGATAACTTTAATGGCAACAACGTTTGGACAAAAAGGAGGAAATCACTGTAAGTATTTCATAATCGTTTCTGGTTAAAATTGCATTGTGCTCAGGCTGGAATTCAAGACTTAAATGTATCTTTAAGGGTTTGTTGGGTTTTGTTTTGTTTTTTTCTTTCCCCAGAAGGGTTACTATTCTGCTGAGAATTTGACCCCTTTTGGTGTTCATAATGTCTCTCTTTATTAATATAAGAACTGGTTTTCTCTTTGAACTCAAGCATTCCCAATGAGATTTTGCTTGTTTACCTTTGTAGAAGGCTTATCTTTGTAAAGTTCTGGTATAGGAAACTAGTATTGGTGATTTTGATTAAAAAATCGAGTGTTGTTGAGAACTTAGAGTCCGCTTAGTCTTTTGAAAAGCTTAACTCCATATTATCTCCTGCAGAGTTAGTAAGAACTCAAAACTATTTCTTTAAAATTATTCATCAAAATGCACTTAGGACCAATTAAGGAGTTACATGAAATAAATGAACTGACATCAAGTATAATCTCTGCACAAATAGGTTGAATGAGATCTTTCCTTGCAGATACTTGGGCTTTCTTCAGTGTGAAAGATTTAACTCGGAGGGCAGGCTGTTCCTTGTAACACTGCCATCTTCTGAATTACCAGCACCTATTACTTAAAATATCCACACAGGCACAGTTCTGACTTTTATGTAGCACAGTTAATACCAAAGATCATGCATTTCTGTCATTGTGTCACATTTAGCTAATACCACAAATATTGTGGAATGCTGCGTACATATAGCACTAATCTGTGGAGCCTGTGGTATCATGTCCCTTCTGCTGTTGTGTCCTCTACATATGAAGCAAAAGCTGTTGTGAAATGACTGTCTATGTGACCTTCATTTCCTGTGGACATGCAAGGCCTCTTGTGTTTTTTATGTGCTGATGTGACCCGACACTGCTTAATGTGTGAAATGGAATGGATTCTTGCTGCTGTTGTATAGTTGCAGTCTATTACTTCATATTGTGTTTGAACTATAGTGCTATTGTACTACGGCTATAAGTAATGCACTGCAAAGCAGTGCTAGCAGAAATTTTACAGCTCTTAATATGGAAAAAAGGAAGCTACGTGAGAACTTGAAATAGGGGACTGTTTGTTCTATTTAGTTGAATTTTCACCACGTTCTGTATTTTTTTTTTAAGGGTGGTTTGGAATTCGAAAAGACTTCTGTCAGTTCCTGCTTGAAATTTTCCCATTCTTGCGAGAATATGGAAATATTTCGTATGACCTTCATCATGAAGATAGTGAAGAAGCAGAAGAAACACCAGTTCCAGAACCACCAAAAATTGCACCCATGTTCAGAAAAAAGACTGGAGTGGTCATTACACAGAGTCCTGGAAAATATGTGATTCCACCTCCCAAGTTAAACATTGATATGCCAGATTGAGATGACAACAGGTTAATACACTGGGACTGGGAATCAGCAGACAAATGTATTTCATCTCATGCCTTGTCCTGATTACTTAAAAATAGCTATTTGTGAATCAGTGGCTTGTATTATAGAGATCGGAGATTTTTAATATAATTTGAGAGCTTTACATGTTTGTGTAAAATCGTATGGAAGCAAATCAAAGTGGGAACACTACTTCTAGTTCACAAATGGAAACAAACTTCATACAAAAATGTACCCCATGAAATCAACAATTTTAAAAATGTTAATCCAGAGATGGGGGCATTGTTTGTAGTGAACAGGGTGTTGAAGACTTCAGACTTTAACACACTTGCCAGCAGCTGAGACTCACTGTTCTTCACTTAAGTTTTCTAAGCATTGTGACACTTCCCCATAGAAATAAATGGCTGTCTAATTTGTGAACCTTCCCAAGGGATTGGTTACACACTTGGCTGTATAGTATTTATATGAACAATTTAGCAGTGTAATATATTGTTTAAAAATCTAGTCCTGTACAGTATAAATATTATGTAAAAGTATTTTTTTAAAAAGCCTGTATGAAATGCCTATGCTATTACAGATGTCTTTCAGGTCTTAAATGTACACTTTATTTTTCAAATTTCAAGTTCCATATATATTAATGTAGTATCTCTCTACTTTTTTCTATTCAGCCACAATCATTATCTTAACTACAGAGGCACAGGAGTGTTGCGTAACTCGGACAAGACTTGAAAGCTTCTTTTTTGAAACGGAATGTATAACAGCTTACATTATTTTTTGTTAGCTATGTAAATTATTATGTACATATTCCAACTTTTGCACTGGCTGGGGGTCTAAGTGTTGCTGGCTTCATGTTCTAATTTTCCTTAAGCAACACCTACACCATTCTCCCATTATTTTGTCTGTTTAATAAACTGTTTCTTGTATGATGTGTGTAATCTATGCTGGGAACATTAGTTTTAAATCTTAGAGCTGTTACTATAAATATCATAACAAGCTTAGTACTTCATACCAAGTTGTTAGGTTCAGTGTTAAGTGATTAAACTGTTTAAAATATGAATTGGTTCATGTTGAAAAGCATTTTCTCATTTGAAGAAAAATATTTTGACATTGACTTCAGACCCTTTTGAGAAATTAGTCTTTGAAATATATACTGCATTAGTTTCTTGATATTTGAAATATATACTGCATTACTGCTTATTTTCTTAAAGTTTCATGTCTTTTATCTATGGCAATACCCTCTTGTGCTGTATCTCAAGAGCAAATTATCTACTGAAGCTATGGAGTGGCTATTGGAGGCCTAAAAATAGGTTAAACGGGTAAGGAAGAGCATGTTGGTTGCTGAGCCTGGCAGGAGGGTGGACTGGTGAATCTCTTGAGTTGCCTTCTCTCACTCTTGAATTTCAAACTATCCCTGTTCTTTGCTGTGGGATTTAAGGTATAGCAGATGATTGGATGAGCGCTCTTCCTTCTCTAAAAGCCTTTCCCAGTGTTTTGGCTACCTTCTTAGTTGATGCTTCTTGTAGGTAACGTGTGGCTGATAGTCCCCCATAACTGCAGTTATGCTTTGCATTTATGTGAGCCAACAGTTTAGGTAGCTTTAATACTTCAGATCATGTTTCCTTATACTTAATGTTTAAATGACATGAATAGAGACTGTACAGAAACCTCTCTGTTTGTGAAAGGCTCCGAACTGAAAAACTGCAGAACTTGCTCTTCCTGATACTTCAAACTTCTCTCTTCCTCACTGTGGACCAGCTACTAGATGCAACTGGACACAGACCTTGTCCTATCATATGTTCAATTCAAATTAAGTTTTATATACTGTATGACTACTGAGTGAACATCTGCAAGTTTATAAATGAAAAGCAACAACTTTCATTCGGCAATTTTTATTACTTCTTCATTTTGCTAGGAAACTCTGCTATTTTATGATGTCATGGCAAGACAACGTGGGTATCATTATGATGTTGTAGAATTCTCTATTGAAGTTCAGGGTAAGCTATAGCATCGTTTTATTTTATCTTGCTGTCTCGCAGCAGGAAGTAGTGCAAATGACTGCAAGCGAAAAACTAGGTCAAAGCAGGAAAAGAGAATCTGAAATGGATCTGTCTTTAGCAGAAGCGTCCTGTTTTTCTGTTCAGGATAAAATAGTTGATTCTGTAATCTCAATTTCTTCTGTTGCTCCAGTATATGATAAAACAGCAGCTTGTGATACTGCTTTAAGATCTGTAACAGAAGAAAAGGGTTTTCAGGCTTTGAGTGATGGACCCTGGGCAAAAAGACCACGTCTTAATCCTTCTGAGGATAGCTCTGCCAAAGCCAGTGATTTTTCATTCCTCACCTTTCCGAAGAAGCTCTGGAAAATTGTTGAAAGTGATCAGTTTAAATCAATTTGGTGGGATGATGATGGGAATTGTGTAGTGATTGATGAAGACTCCTTCAAAAAGGAGGTGCTGGAAAGGAGAGGACCTCTGAGAATTTTTGAAACTGACTGCATGAAAAGTTTCATTCGTCAGCTTAACCTTTATGGTTTCAGCAAAATGCGACAGGATTTTCAAAGATCTGCCTCACTTGCTGAATTTCTAGCAGAGGAAAAAGCAGCTTCTGCTTTTAGCAAGGTATGTCTCTAAACAGGAAATAACTTAGAATCTTCTACTGCGATAAAAGTATAAAAGTGATGCTGGAAAAAATCTGGTATTTCCATTACTTTGAATATATGGGAAAAAAAAAAGATGGATTTCTTATCTGTTTTGTTTCTCTTGTTGCACATGGTGTGTATCAGATTTAAAATGTGTTTCGTCTGGGATTTGCTGAATCCTCCTAGCATCATGCTAGTATTCATTCTCCACGCTTGCTGAAAACTACTGATGTTCAGGTTTTTAAATCAGTTTTTATCCTTTGGAAAATCCTATGCTCCAAAAGAGCTAAAAGGTTGTTACTTAACACTGTGTCTCACCAAATTTCATTTGACCTAAACTTTAGGTTTAAAATGCCCTGATACCCTTTTTAATATTAATGTTTGTTTTTTTCTGTTTGAAGTTCTTAATTATCTTTGTGTTTTGAATCTTGAAATGGTGAAAATTAATTCTTCTCATTTGCCTTCTCTAGTTACAGTTCTATTATAACCCAAATTTTAAGAGAGGTTATCCCCACCTGCTAGGAAGATGCAAGCGAAGAGTTGGCATAAAAACTAAACCAGCAGTTGCATTCTCACTGAATCAGGATTTTAATGAAAATCACTTGAGAAGCGAGGGAAGAAGCCCTGATGTTCAGTCTGCATTTGGACTCGTCTCTGCAGAGGAGGCTGATCTGTTCACAGCAGCTCCAAGGGAGAAGGCACCAACACCTGCCCCAAGGAAGGCCACAGTTATCAAGGGACTCACGAAAGCACCTGGTCGAATGAAAAGTGGTTTTGCATCTTCTCAGGAAGCCTCCCTGAGCCTGTCGGAGCCTCCTGCAGCAGAAGCTGGGGACGAGTTAAATCAGCTGGCCCCATTCCTCTTGCCACAGCAGAGCAGCCCCGCTGAAGCGAGCGTGCAGGATCCTGACTCCGCTACGCCTCCACCTTCCGCCTCGCTCTACCACCTTATACCTCCTGTACCAAACAGTCCTTTCAGACCTGCCATGGGTCTTCCTGCCTTTCCATCCATGTATCCAGATATCTCAGCCATGCAGGCTCACTGGGCTAGTCTGCTTCCCTTCTGTAACCCGTGGTTTTCAATGCCTATGATTGCAGCAGCCGCTGCTATTACTATGTCAAGATCATCTCACCACCGCAATCCAACGTACCACCACTGCCCTAGCTGCAACTGTCCTTCAAACAGTGCACCTGCTGGCAAAGGGGTTGGGCCCCAAGCTGCTGAATATACAGGATATCATAGATAAATAACTTTTTTTTTTAGAAGGTTGCATATGCCAAGGGAATAAATTCTAACAAATACACAATTAAACCATCTGAATACTAAATATTTCCCAATTGTCTTGTTCTATTTATACAATGGGATCTTAGGTTGAATTTATGTTTCAGCAGTCAAAAACTTATTTAAATAGAAGTAGCAATTCTACAAGCAGTTTAATGATTTTTTTTTGTAACAATCAAGCTTATAGAGTAAGACCAAAAAAAAAGAGACAGAATTCTTGAGAGGGGGTGTTAGGGTAGATGGCGCTTAGATGTACCCGAACTCTTCTCACAATACAGCAGTGTCCCAGAGCCAAGGCCCTGTTGAGGAGGGGAGAGGAGAATCTGTTCTGCTTTTGATGGAATAAACCTCTGATAAAAGCATTTACTAAGGCTTAGTTTAGAGAGGTTTAACTGAAGTATTTATATCAGATGTTACTTCATGATTCTTCCTCCCCCGCCTTTTTTTTTTTTTTTTTTTGTGATAGTGGACTTGTAACACTTGCTGTGTAGGACCTCCTTACTGTGACTTATGTTAACTCTCACAAGAAATAGGATTGTAAGTTTATAAGCTCACAGTAAATATACAGGGCTACACAGTCCAGTCTGATCACTGAAACATGCCCTAAATCAGGTCCTGAGATAAGAGAATAATAAAATCAACAGACCAAAACCAAAAGAGATCGGTGTCATTCATTTTTGTTGATCGGAAGGTGCTTGCTTGTTAAAAAACAGAAGAAATGGAAGAATATTTATAAATTACTATGTTGTATGAAATACCATGAATAAAAACACTTCTGTTCCAGTATTTTTGAAATAAAATTTAAAGTGTTGAAACCATTTTGTTCATTTTTATTGTAGCTGCATGTGTAACACAACTACAGATCAAGCCTCTTGCCTAATGAAATCAACACTAAAGCTACTAACTTCCATAATGGGAATAGGTGCCAATGATTTGAGAAAGCAAACAGTTACACTTTTTTTAAGTATTCTTAAGGTATATGCCCTTAAAACTAAAAGATGAAACAGTTTAATCTATAAATACCAACATATTATTATGTTTCATACTCAAGAATTCAAGAGCATTCTGTGAGTTCCATGCTCCCTAACCTTTAATCAATTCTGCTTGATAATAGTTATTCTAAAGTACTAAATATACTAAAGATACTTTTATTTTTGCCTCTCAACTTTAGGATAGCCTGACCTCACTCTTATATCTAGATATTTCTTAGAAATACCTAATTAAGGTCAGTTGAGGAACAGACTTCTGTTTGCATCAGGCATGCAGCACTGATCCCTGACTGTGCAGTGAAGAGCAATGCTGATGCTTGAGTAAAACTGAATACTGTAGAAGTCTCTAAACAAAGCCTAAGACGTTTTGAAGATAAATAAAACTAGGATTACATTTTGTGTCACAAACAGCGTGCCCATATCCATTTGTACATTTTGTGTAGATTACTGCAGCCAACTTCAACGTTTATATTTTCTATGAAACAATATGACAAACTACCGCACAATCCAGAAGCGTGAAATGCACGACACGTTCATAGGTAATTTAAAGATCATAGGGTTGGGGTGGAATTGTTGAGTCTGCAGTTGAGCAGACCCAGTACAGTGTTTGTGCTGGGCCTGGAGAGCACCAGCAGCTTGGTGGCTCCAACAGGCCTCACTTGGAGACCCCCACCCACCCTGACCAGCCTCACCTGGAGCCCCCCACCCACCCTGATCAGCCTCACCTGGAGACCCCCACCCACCCTGACCAGGCCAGAGAGCCTATTTAAGCTCCATTTGGGGCCCTTATTCCCTGTCCTGCTACTACAGCAGGGCTGGGCTCCAGCAATACCCTGCCTGGCTGCAGGCCTGCTGAGCCAGACCTGTGCCTGTAGGCCAGCTACCTGCCTTGACCTCAGGCTTGTTCTCTCACCCCAGACATGCTCCTCACCCTGACCTCTGGACTTCACCACGAGTCAGCTGCGCTGTGAGGAGTTTGCTGCAGGGCTGGGCTCCAGGCTGACCCTGGCTGCGATCCCTGGGCCTGGAGATGGCCTCCCCTTGCACAGGTACTGCAGGACAGGCTGCTGAGACCCTCATCATTGATGTTCAGCCCTTTAACACAATATTTGTGTGTGTGTCTTGAGTATATTATTATTACTGAATATATAGTTTATAACTCTTTATGATTTTACTCCTGCACAACAATATCTTTTTATACATTAAGTAATACAAAATACTTACCTTTCGGATGTATAACTTAATTTTTGGTTGTGATGCCCCTTTTTTGAAAGGGGCGCTGTTCTGATGATTTGCATGTTCACTATTGTCATGTTCTTGAATGCCTACAAAAAATAGTTGCTCCAACAAAAAATTGTTGGAGTTAAGATTTTTTTTTTTTTGATATTTCTCAAAATATTGCTGGAACACCAACAAAAAATGTAACAGGCAAAAAACAGGTAATTATTTCTGCCAAGAAAATACTATTTGAAATGCTAATAACTCAACTTTGCCAACAAATGTGATTCGTGAACTAGAAAAACTGGCAATATACTATATTTAGTGATTTTTGAAAATCACTAAGGTATATCTAAAGTAAATGCTACTAGCCATTAAATTAACTCCTGCCTCTACTCTTAAAAGAGACTATACTCTTAAATTAGAGGAGGTGTTTTTTGGAGTTATACTAAGATACAGATGTGCAATCAAGGATGTGTTGGTATGGGTGTTTTTTGTTTGATTTGGAGAAAAATCTATTTAAAGTACTATGTAGAGTGAAATCTGTCTTAGTTTATTTTAATTCCTTATGTTGAGTTCTGCTAACCTTGCCCAGGAAGAAGCAGAGGCCTTTGCACAGCTGTATGGGCTACTGGCTAGCCCAGTATGTACTGCCTATGTATAGGGAACTGCAGGTTGGAAAAATGACTCTGTTATTTTTGCATTCATTCCAAGAATGTCTGCTCTAAAAGTGGTACAGACAAGTCTGCTCTCTGTAAGATACAGGGCTTCTGTCACAAGATACGTCTCAACTTCAAAGTCTCACCTGGATTATCCTAATAATTTCCACAGCTCTTCAATTGCATATTACTATCATTTTTGATTAATTTCATAGTTTTTTTTTAATATATATACCAGGAAGATAGGCTCTGGAGGCCCTATTCCCTTTTTCACTAGGACTTATTTTTTTGGCTTGTCATTATGCTTGAGTTAATTCTGCTACTCATTTTGCTGCCCTTCTACCCTACTCTGTGCTAGTGCAATCAATAGATGAAAGTGTTTCTCAGGTAACTCACATCTATGGTAATGCAGCTGCCCCTTCTCTTTTTCCTCTGGTCTCCTCATAACCTCCCTTTCCTTGAGAAGGCTGAGAATGTTTAGCTGAAATATGACCACTGATTTGAGAAGATGACCGACATCTGCTTCAACTTTGAAAGACCAGGTCTATCTTTCCCAATGTAAAACCTAGAAATACCACAACATGCACTGGTAATGGTAACTCTCATTGTCAGGATTTGCAGAAACCTGGTTGAATAGGTTCTTAAAGCTTTTTTTATGGTAGCAGTAGAATTTATTCATATGCAAGATAAGAAACAGATTGAGTCCTTTGCTTTTTATGTAAATGGAAACTAGACAGAGCTATGCTGACTAGATGTTATGGCAGATTTTGGCCTATAAAATAGACTGCTGAGAATGCAACTTGAAAAGGCTATTTTCTAAAAGCTGCACAGCTGCATAGCACACAAAGCTATTTTAGAATTGAAATACTCTACAGTAATCTGTTTTCTTTTGTTACAGTTATTATCGAGTATGAGAAGCTGTTATTTAGTAGTTAATAGTAATGAAAAAGGCAAAATAAGTTATAGTGTGGCTTGAGAATCTGACAACAGTGGTGTGAAAGCCATGGGTAAGCTTGATACTTGGGAATGTGCATGTGTGTAACAGAAGCAAATGGTAAACTGATTCACAATCATATTCCCTTCAAAAGAGCCAACAAAAGTTGTCAGCATTCCTAGAACTAGGAACAGTCATTACCAAGCTCCAACCTTACTCAGCTATCTTGAAAGAAAAAGCCTGCAGGATCAGAAAATAATGAATTTTGAGGCTCATGCAGTTCTGTTTTCTGTGCCACTTCAGAAATAGCAGGTCAATAGCCAGTTACAGCAAGAATTTTAATCAAAGCAAATGAAGTTAAGGTATGAAAGTATGGTACAGGTTAAAGTCTTTTACTGCAGACTTCCAATTTACTATACGGGAAAAAAATCACAGGAGGGCAGCTTTCAATTGTTTATTCTCATTCTTGTCTTTTCCCACATTGAAACACCTGATTCTAACTTGCATTTTCAAGAAGTGATTAAGGAAAGCAAGTGCTATCTCTCTTTCACAGAAATACTGGTGAAATGCACTACCCTGAAAAGGCAGGTGAATTGCTGCTTCAGACACTCTTCATATCAGCAGATGAACTGAGCATCTGAAACATCTGAGTATTCTGAACAGAAGCAGAGTATGTGGTTTTTGTGAACTCTAATGACACCTACCTGAACCAAATACTATGCTGACCTTTTCAAAAAGTTCCTTAGAGCAACATCTAGTCAAATACTCAGTAGCTAATAAAATAATCATCCTTTATTATTCTTTTTATTTCAAGTACAAAAGGTGAGCTGGGAATATGAGCTAAGCAGCAATTTTCTCACTGGCATACTCTTAGATCTGTCTAATTTTTTTCAAGGATACTTGCTCATGTGAGACTTGAGTATGATTATTTTGACTGCACCAAAAGCGGATATCTGGTGGGTATGATGCATTATTTGATGTAACAACTTCTGGATCTGCTTCTAGTTGCTATGGATGTGCTAACAGTCACCATCCACTCCAACCTTCACTTAAGGGGATACTAGTCACTGCTTCACCTTGAAGGCATAAAGCTCGAGTGTTTATAAAGTCACTTTGAGATTCTCTGAGAAGCTGAACAGTAGCACTCCATAATCTAATTAGATGGACTGTAAAGCTGTTCTCATGAGACTTCATCATTAATCATATAGGAAAAGGTATATACTATGGTAAGAAAAGATAATCATACCTCATCTTCAAAGCTGTAGGAAGAAGCTGTCTTTTGACTGCTGAATGTGTTGCCAACTACTTTCAATGCTACAGGTGAAGTACTACCAGAAGCTGAAATCTTTATCATAAAAGCTGCTCACTGAGAAGAGGCCACTAGCATTGCCTTAGTACCCTAATTTTGTATCACTTTCTAGAAAAAATAGAGAATCTTTGTTTTAGCAGTTCAGTTTAACAGTTTAAAAGCACTTTTTTCTATTATTAATCTATATTTAAAGTTATGCATGAGGAGCAAAATCTTGCCAAACCTAATGGTAGAAAACACCATTGTTATTGCTTATGCTGGAATTGATTCTACAAAAGATGTTTTTCTGTATTTTTGGGAAAAGGAAGAAAAATGTATACTAAAATCTTTACCACCTGGTAAATTGGCATAAAATAAATCAACCATGTATTAGTCACATTTATTTACAGATGTCTATCAATGAAAAATCTACCAGATCATAACTTTCAGTAATGATAAGAATGAGATCTCCATTATTTTTTTTTAAAAAAAGCAGTTCTATGAATATATTTACTATTTCAGACAACTACCTTTGGATGGTGATCCTAAATAATTCATTTGTTGCTCACCACTCAATCTTGAATGCAAGTTTTTATTTAGAAAAGAAAAATATAGCATGGAGCAACTCCTATGATTCTGGAGGGATCAGTTCTTCTGGGATGTCTATGTACCATATACCTCTGTTCCCTCTGGCAGGAATTGGTTCCAGCAGCCAGCGTGGATTTGAAACAACAGTCAAGTATTTCTGCTCCAGATTACTGAGGACAGCTTTGTCTTCCAGCTCCAAAACCTTTTCAGGAGGTAAGTTTTCTGGATATAAGGATGTCTCTCCAATGTCAATTAATCCTGTATTATAAGATGAAAAAAAGTCTTGTTGACTTTTCTAGATTTTTTTCCTGAAAATAAACCTCCAAAATTACATACAAACCAGTTATGTTACCAGAAGAATTATGTATCAAATATGTACACCTCTATCAAGCAGCAATCACTACCCTATGACTGAAGCTAGATAGGTGAAGAACAGCTGAACATGGAGTCATAAGATTCCAAGTTTGGGAAGACAAAATTCTATCAGAAGTAGACTGCCTCTCTTAGGGCTGCTACTGAAAACTGAGTTGCATCTGGCTTTGAAAGAGCCTCTTTAATAATAAAACTGTCTGTTCATATAAAGACATTTTACTACATTTTTAAAAAATCTTTGAACTGTATGGATTTTTGGATCCCTTTCAGCTTTTATAGAATTTACCTTATTGAATATTACAAGAAAAATTATATATTCCTTAATTTTAATAAAGATAAAGCTTTTATTGCTATTGCATTTAGCCTTGGCATAAATCACATTAAAAATCCTGAAATATTAATATTACTTAGTGCCTAACAGTTTTCAATACTACAGAACTGTAACAACTTTCTGGTATGTGATAACCTATTTGGCAGGAATGGCAAAATACTCAAATGGGAATGCAAGATGGATGTCATGACAAACAAATTGGTGCTTTAGCAGAAACTACAAAGTGAGTGTTGGATACTAACTTTGCAAGTTTTACACAGTATTTCAGCACCATATGAGCAAAGAAACATTACTCTCCTGCATGCTACAAAAGTAACCAAGGTGTCTGAGTTTCTACACCTGAAAGGGGATTTATTTATATGATACTTCACTATTAGCCATGCAAAAGGACACTATAGGGTCACTTCCTTTAACTGCATACACACCATAAAATGATTCCAGCAAACATTCATAAGCTTAAAAGGTGGGGGGAAAAGGTGTAACTGGCCTATTTTAAATATCCACACTACTTTTTACTGTCATACAGCAGGATTGAGTAGCACAAATCAACGTCTTAGAGCACCAAAGCTCTTCCTAGACGTTTGAATGCGTGTGGGAGAGAAGGCTCCTCCCGCAGCGTTTTTGGCTCCGCAGGGGTGTGTTTTTGCCACAGCCTGAAGGCATCCGGGCCCTGCTGTGCTCTCCCCGCAGCCCCGGCCTGCGCAGGGCCCGAGCTGCGCCGCGTACCGGGGACTCGGGGGCAGGGGAGGGCCCCGGGAGGGGCCCCC